TCTAGTTTCATTTTTTTTTTGCATGTATCTGTCCAATTTTTCCAACACCATTTATTGAAGAGACTGTCTTGACTCCATTGTATGCTCTTGCCTCCTTTGTCAAATATTACTTGAGCATAATGGCTTAGGTCACTTTTCGGAGACTCTGTTCTGTTCCATTGATCTTTATACCTATTCTTGTGCAAGTACCAGGCTATTTTGATTACAGTGGCTTTGTAGTATAATTTGATAGCTGGTATTGTGATCCCTCCAACTTTGTTCTTCTTTCTCCAGATATCTGTGGCTATTCAGTGTCTTTTTTTGTTTCCATATAAATTTTTGGAGTATTTGTTCTAGGTCTGCGAAATATGCCATTGGTAATTTAATAAGGATTGCATTGAATCTATAGATTGCTTTGGGTAGTATGGACATTTTAATGATGTTGATTCTACCAATCCACTGCCTAGCGTCACCTGGTAGGAGTTACAGAGAGATCTGCAGATGGCTGCTACTTGTATAGGGCTTAGAAGTGCCCTGGTGAGGCAGACTGGTGCTAGTACAGGGTTTTGGGCCTCTTATAGATAGGTATGGGGCACTCTGAAGTCAGCTGCTGCTTGTTTAAAAGATTTTAGGAAAGTCTGAAGCCTGAACCAGGACAGGCCATTCATATGGAAAAGCTGTTACAAACAGCTTTGGTGGGGCTGCAAATTGAATGGGGTGGGGCCTCGGGGAATCACCAGGGCGAGTGAACAGTGTGAGCCATGCTTATGGAAACTCAGATATGGCTGCCAGTCAGCTCTGGGACAGGGGAGGTCTCAGCATAGGAACAATGACACCTGCAAGCACCTATCTGGGAGGAAGCCACCCCCAAGGGTTCTTGCTCTAATGCCAGACAATCAGTTCCTCCCCTAATGTCCCAGGTTCCTTTCAAACCATCACCACAGAGTTGGAGTTCAGAGGGATCAAATCCAAGTAAATCCATGCAATGGCCCTTTTAGGGGAACTCCCTGCGATTCCAGCAGCTTCTGTGCCACTCAGCCACAATCTCTGCTGGTTTTTATAGCCCGAAGTTATAGGGACTTCTCTTCCCAGCTCTGGAACCCTGGGCTGGCGGGTCTGGTGTGGGGTGGGTCCCTTTGCTCCCCACAGGAGGCCCCCAGAGCCACATAACCCTCCTGATGGTCAGATTAAAAATTAGAACCTAGTGTTCCTGTTAGATACTGGGAGTTATTCATTATGCTATTACTAGAGGCCTGGTGCACAGATTCGTGCACCAGTGGGGTCCGTTGGCCTGGCCTGCACCCTCTCACAATCCGGGACCCCTCGGAGGATGTTGGATAGCTGGTTTTTGCCTGATCCCTGCAGGCCCGATCCAGATAGGAGGGAGCCCCATCCTGTGTGTTGAGCGTCTGTCCCCTGGTGGTCAGTCCGTGTCATAGCAATCAGTCAACCAGTTGTTTGTCCACTTAGGCTTTTACATATAGAGATTTTTTCAGTTTACATATCATGAATGTAACAAAATAAGTTAAACATATTATGAGCCTGACACTTTAAAGAAAGTTAATGAAAGAATAAAAGATGCTGAAATAATTTGATTAATGTCATACAACCAAATTTTCCCTAACTAGTAATTCAAGTAGATGGTTAAGATTTTTCTATTTTACATGATAGATTTCTGAACGATTAGAGA